CCTCCCCTATTTTTTTTTCCAGTCAGCCAGCAGCGCACACTCTCCCCTTCTTGGTACATATTTCAAACAAGCCCATGCAAAGGACACAGCTCGCATCCCTTCCCCCTGGGGGGCAGGGGGGGGGGGGGGGCACGCATTTCGCCTCTCTCTGCTGTGACATCATATATATATATATATATATATATATATATATTTCATTCATCAAGAATGTACGACCACATGGCCCTCACCCCAAGCTATTTTTTCTGGAACAGGCAGGCGTGGGGAGGAGGAGGAGGAGGGAAAAGAGAGAACAATAAAATAAAATAAAAATAAGACGCATGGAAGATCTGAAAAGCCAAGCTGTCATCGGACGGATCGGGGCTCTGCAATGCGTCCATACATCCCCCTTTCTCTTACAGGTAGGTCCTCGACTTTACGACCACAACAACGGAGCCCGATGTTTCTGTTTGTTCAGTGAGGCTCGCCCCGTTATGTGACGTTTCCTGTCCCTGCATGGAACACGGTTGTTAAGTGAATCTGGCTTCTCACCCCCCCTTGATTTCGCGCATCAGAAGGTCACCGAAGGGGATCACGTGACCCCGTGACGCAGCAGCAGTCGTAAGTATGAACCAGTTGTCAAGGGTCAGGATCCTGATCACGTGACCCCGGGGAATGCGACAAAGGTCGTAAGCGTGAAAAACGGCCATAAGTCACTTTTTCCCAGTGCGGTTGTAAGTTTGAATGGTCACTAAACAAATAGTTATAAGTCGAGGGTTGTCGGCATTCACTCCAGCTGGACTTCTTTAATTAGTGGAACGGCTTTTTCCTCCAGAAGTTGTGGTTTTTAAGAAGAGCCTGGACAGCCATTTGTCTGGAACAGTATAGGGTCTCCTGCTTGAGCAGGGGGGTGGACTAGAAGACCTCCAGGGTCCCTTCCCACTCTGTTATTCTGTTATTTTTACGTTTAATGTCAGTGAAATAGTGGGTTGTTGTTGTTTTTTTGTTAGGTCAGCTACTGCACATGTATGTGTGGATGCAATTCAGACATTCTAAGTTCCTGATAAACACGATTTATTCGGTATTTTACAGATTGACAGAGCTGGAAGGGACCTTGGAGATCATCCAGTCCAACCCCCCTGCCCAAGTAGGAGATCCTGCACTATTTCTGACAGAGTCGCTTCTTGAAACCCTCCAGGGATGAAGCTCCCACAACTTCTGAAGGCAACTTCTGAGTTCCACTGGTTGATTGTTCTCACTGTCAGAAAGTTTCTCCTTATTTCCAGATTAAATCTCCCCTTGTTCAGTTTCCATCCATTATTCCTTGTCTGACCTTCAGTTGCTTTGGAAAATAGCTTGACCCCTTCCTTCTCTCTGGGGCAGCCCCTCAAATATTGGAAGACCCCTATCATGTCTCCCCTGGTCCTTCTCTTCACCAGACTAGCCAGGCCCAGTTTCTGCAACCGTTCATTGTATGTTTTAGCCTCCAGCTCCTTAATCATCCTGGTTGCTCTGCTCTGCACCCTTTCCAGGGTCTCAACATATTTTCTTTTATTCATATGGTGACCAAAACTGGATGCAGTACTCTAGGTGTGGTCTTACTGAGGCAGACTTGGATAACAACAGCAAACAGTGTACGAATAAACCAAGAATCAACCTAGTTTCCACCAGAGGCAGCCAAGAAATGGTTGCACTGTACATTGGGGGAGTGGGATCCTTGCATGTAGAAAATTAGCATCTCAGGAAAAAGGTTTCATCCAAGAAACAAGCAATAGGTCAATGGCCCAAGTTCCCAAGTTGTGTTTCTGGCAATTTGGCAACGTTTTGTGGTCATGCAATCCATTATCCCAGGGTCCTGGGTTCTAACTCTATATTAAGTGCACAGTTTGGCCTTGTGGTTAAAGCACCAGATTAGAAACTGGGGGACTATGAGTTCGAGTTCCGCCTTAGCCATGAAAGACAGGTGGGTGATTTGGGGCCAGCCAGCAGGAGACGGTGAGTTCCAGTCCTGCCTTGGGGATGCTGCAACAGTTGTTAAGTGAGCTTTGCCTCATTTTACGACTTTCCTTGCCGCAGTTGTTAAGCGAATCCCTGCAGTTTTAACTTAGTAAACATGGTCACTAAATGAATCTGGCTTCCATGTTGTCAGACTGTCGCAAAAGGGGATCGTGTGACCCCTTTTATGACACTGCAATTGTCATAAATACGAGTCCATTGCCAAGCGCCCGAATTTTGATCACATGATCATAGGGATGGCTGCAACGGTCGTAAGTGTAAAAAAATGGTCATAGGTCACTTCGAACAGTCACTAAATGAGTTCCACCAACAGCTGAACGCAAATGAAATTGATCAGACAAACACACCATTTTGCCTGAACTGGGCTGTTGAATGCAGAGCCCTTTGTCCCTTCCTACCCAGCCCCTAGCTCTCCCTTCCTCCCTACCTCCTACCCACCTACCTCCCCTATCCCCAAAACCTGTTTTTGAAACCTCTGCCATCACCCAGCCAGGCAGCCCATCCTCACGGCTGCAAAACCTCCCTCGGGGGACAGAGAAGGGCTAAAGATCGAAGGGACACTCATAAATAGCTGCCCCTGGGAGGGTAGAAGATAATGCCCGCATGCTCTGGGCCTGGACACACACACACACACACACACACACACACACAAAGCTGTGCCCCCTGCAGCTTGTGGTCAGCTCAGCTTTCCTGGTGCATGGATGCTGCTTCCTCAGGAAACTGGGATGCAGAGCTTCGGGAGGGAGGGAGGAAGGAAGAAGTGAGGGAGGGAAGGAGGAAGGAAGACAGAAAGGAAAGAAGGAAAGAAGGAAAAGAGGGAGGGAGGGAGGGAAAGGGGGAAGGAGGGAGGGAGGGAGGGAGGGAGGGTGGAAGGAAGGAATAAGGAGGAGAAGGAAAAGCAGAAGGAGGAAATAAAGACAAGAGTGAAGAAGAAGATACAGGAGGAGATAGTAAAGGAGAGGGAGACAGTTAAAAAGAAGGAGCGTATAGAGGAGAAAAGTGAGAAGGAGAAAGAGAAGACAGAAAAGGAGATAGAAAGGAGGAGGAGAAAGACAAGGAGAAGAAGAAATAGAAATAGAAGAGGGTAGGGGAAGTGGAGGGAATGAAGAGGACTAACAGAGAAAGATGAAGAAAATGAAGGAGGAGAGGAAGGGAAGGAGCAAGGAGAGGAGGAAGAGTATGAAGAAGACTTTCAAGAAAGAGCAAGGAAGAGGAGAAGGAAGGGACGAAAGAGTTCTGATAACTAACTACATCATCAAGGCTTCCATTTATGGGATCCTAAAATCAAATCCAAAACATCAGTCATATAAACTAGCCACACAGGGCTGGCTCCATCTCTTCCCTTTTGTAAATTAAGTCACAACTTTTGATGACCATTCTCAATAGCTTCCTATTGGGCTACCTCGGGGGACAGAGACGCCCTTCACATGCTCTGGAGTTGTTCTGGAGAACATCTAGGTTCCTAGGTTCTGTCTGCAGTTAACCTCCAAAGCTGAGGTCCACCACCTTCTGACCTTCCACCAAGACTCAAAGAAGACCCACAATGTAGTCAACTCCATCTTGAGTGGTGGGCCAAATTTAATTTCTAACGCAAGAGGCTTAGATCCCCAAGCCACCAGGTCTTATCTTCCTGAGACCATTCCTGTTGATAACCAAGAAAAAGACAAATTCTGCATGCCTATCTAAGCTGATACGGATTTCAGAAGCGGGTGGACACAGCCTCCGGCAAAGGCATCCATCATGATCTTGTCAATGCAACTATTTCCCCCTTGGGGTCGTCCTTGAAAGATCTCATGATGGAAGTCTACAAAATTCGAAGCACTTGGAAACAAATATTCCCCAGTTATTCAGACACTGTCCTGAGAAACCAGATTTCTGGGTGTTTTCAAGGTCGGATTGGAAATTTCCAGAGACAGTCTTGTGAAACCTTTCTTCTGTTGTTGTGTCCACATGCAAAGTGGGTCCATGACGGACAGCTTGATTGGGTAATTCTCCTTCTCTGGATTAACTGCTAATTGCAATCAGAATTCCTAAACTTCAAATTTTTCCTAGGCGCCCCGATGACCCCTAGTAAACTTCAAGTGCAGGCAGTCCTCGGCTTATGACCACAATGGGGACCAGAAATTCTCTTGCTAAGCAAGGCTGTTGCTAAGAGAGTCATGCCTGATTCGATGGCCTTTTTCCTCTACTGTTGTTAAGTGGATTGCAGCAGTTGTTAGGTGAATCATGTGCGGCCATTAAGCGAACCCCGCTTCCCCAGTTGACTTTGTTGTTGGAAGCCAGCAATGGCAAGAACGTCATAAAAATAAGCCCATTGCCAAGTGCCCAGATTTTAATCATACGACTATAGGGATCTGGGATGGTTATAAGTGCAAGGACTAGTTATGTCACTTTTTAAAGTGCCATCGTAACTTTGAATGATCACTAAATGAATGGTATTTCTTGATTTGCGATGTTACAATGGCACTGAACAAAGTACCGTCTCTATAATCACATGAACAAAATTAAGATGATTGGCAACTGGCATGTACTTATGACAGTTGCAGGAATTCTTGGAGTTGAAGCCCCCAAATCTTACAGTGGCCTCATTCGGAGACATTTCTCAACCTTAACAACTTTAACAGGGGGTGGACTTCAACTCCCAGAATTTTTCAGGCGGCCATCTTGATGAAATCCAAGGCTTGGATCCAGACCATGCTGGCTGGGGAATTCTGGGAATTGAAGTCCACCCTCTCTTAAAGTTGTCAAGATTGAGAAACGTTGAACCCTGGGGAATTCTGGGAGCTGAAGTCCCCAAATCTTAAAAGTGTCCAGAAAAGGAGACAGAAGAGCTGCCAACTGGATGAAACTCCGGGCTTGGCTGCCTCTGTCTTCTGAAATAGCCACCAGTGACTCCCTTGTAACCCCTGCCCCCACCTTTTTAGACATGGGCTTTGTAGTCATTTGGAGAAAAAAGCGTTGCGCGTTTGCACCTGGCTTTGCTAGTAGTGCTTGCTTCCACATCTGCGGCATTGCCAGAAAGCTGCAGAGTGGAGCTGGAGCAAGTTCAAAGCTGTGCAAGTGGAGCTGGAGGAGAGATTTCAAAGAGGAAAATCTGTGTAGCTAGGCCACACCTTCGCACAATTCTGGCCGTCCCAACTGGGGATAAGAAGGGACTTGCCTGGGTGGAAATTATCTCACACTTGGGAGAGAGGAGGGAAGAGGGGGTCTGGGGAGATGTCAGCTTAGCTAGTGAGGTTCTCTTGGCCAGAAGAGCTAGGGGTGGAGGACGGAAGGAAGGAAGGAAAATAGGAAGAGGAAGGTAAAGAGGAAGGGAGAGAGGAAGAAAGGAAAGAAAAAAAATAGGAAGAGAAAAGTAGAGAGGAAGGGAGGGAAGGAAAAGCAGAAGGAGAGAGGAAAGCAGGAG